TTGTTTTAAACTTCTTGTACGCTCAAAGAAAGGGAGAAACACACAAGTCCAGAAAAAAAAGTCATACCATTACTATTTTTAGCATGCCATTGTGTTCAGAAACTCCCCAGAAATCAAAGACTTTCAGAATTTGCCAGCAACAGTTAAAGAAAATCTATTTCCTTACTGCTATTCATAATTTAACCACCCTCCCCTCTTATTTGCACTGTTTATACATGAATTCCTACAGCATTATGTGCTTTGTATAAGCAGGAAAAGTCCAGTCCAGACACGGCTCCATGACAGCTCCTCCTGACTAATAGCAGAATTATCCTTACATAAGTCCTTTCTCTTCCTTGGCATTTTTTTCTCCCTCCAGGAAGGTACTTCCCCGCGGGATGGAGCTGCTCAGCTCCATGCCTGATGTCGCAGTGCCATCTCATGGCAGCTCCAGTGCCAGCCTTTCAAAGGAGATCCAATTGCTATCAGCTCTTTGCAGGTGCCTTCTTGTTGAGATGTTGAGGCCTTAAATTTATAAACTCACAAAAAGAGAAAAAAAACAAACAAAAAAACCCCACAAAAAACCTGAAAATATTACATTACAGTTTTTGGTAATGACTTTAAAACTTTAGAAACTTAAGAGCCTTCCAAGGAAGAAAAACAATCAGCAGAGATAACTTCTTTTTTAAGAAGCAGGAAGGATGGAGATGAGGGCCATGGAGATGCTCACATCACTTTTGTAGTTAGCTTGACTCCAGAGGGAGAAACTTTACCCTGATTGCTTCTGAAAACATGGGGAGAGGCTGCCCTGTGCTCCCGTGGTCAGGCTGGGAGAAACTCCAGGAAAGTTTCCAGCTGACCCCCACCCCAGAGTCACAGCAAGAGCGTGAGGGACCTGAGACACAAAGCCAGAAGAGTGGCACTGCTGCTGCTGCAGGGTGTAGATGTAGAGAGTGACTAACAAGCTGGCTGGGAAATACTGAACACAAAAAACCCAAAAAAGTCTCCCCAAAATTATTGCAAAGTGAAAAAAAAAAGCCATGAAGCTTTCTATGCAGACCATGCTTGTGCCACAATGCAGGATCATCTCCCAGTTAACCTGGCAGGCCATTCTGTCCTTTCACAGACAAATATTATTTTGAAAGGCTGCTAATGCCAGCAATGCTAATGCATTTGGGTCAGGATTTTCCTACTCCAAACCCTCTATTTTGTGACCAAAGACATGCAGGAAAAATCTCTTCTATCTTTGATGGAATTTACAATATGATCCACTCCACGGCTGTGACAGCTCCAGCAGGGAGGCAGGGGTGCCAGGATGGGTGCTTCCCTGGTGGGAGGCCACAGAATATGATTACCCAGGGAGGCACATCGTGGCACAGGATTACATGTACCATCCATCACTTGCTGACTGGGTTGTTTTCTCTTTGCACACTTGTATGGAAATGTAACTACAAAACATTCCTCTGAGCTGTTCACTTATGTGCAAATATAGCTTTAAATGACTTCTCTAGGAAAGAATCCTCACTATTTTATACAAATTGTCTTGCATGTTTATTACACAGAATCATGATCCAAAAAGAAGGGGATCCATCCCATGCCTGTTCATAACTCTGTTACACATTATGAGCTGAACATACTCCAGGCCCCCTCACATGATGAATGATACCTCCTTCACTTCCAGCCTGCTCCCATGTGCTTGTTTATTTATGGAGCCTCAGTGCTGATGGATACACTCCCAGTTCCTCCATGAGACAGAGCACATCTCAGGCACTGCCCTTGCAATGGGCAGTTTGGAGAGGGAGCAATAAAAGCTGAAACTGCTCCTGGCCTCACCACTGTGCAGGAACACCCCAGGACTGCTCCAGAACTGCTGCACTTCCCACTGACACTGTTCCCAACAGCTGGCAGTTCTCCCCCACATTTAAAGCCCTTTTTCCTGCCCCTTGACAAGGAGCAGAGCACCAGGCTGGACTCAAGAGCCATGCAGGTGCATGGATGCCCACCCTCCCACTGCAGGAATGCTGTGCCTGGGAGGTACCCACGGGATGTCTCCTGCTGGATTTAGCTTGGCTGGCTTGGCCAGCCCATTCCATTGTCTGCACAGCCTCGGGGAGAGTGGAAGGAAACAATGTACTGCCCAGCCAAGCAAAACACAGGGAGGCCAAAAGCTGCCACACGGCTTCTTGGAGATGACACACACTCCGAGGCAGGTCCACTTGTCTCCTGGCACGGGAGCATCCTGCAGAGCCCTGCACCAACAATCCAGCTCCCAGCCCTGGCTCCTGCACACACCACCTCCCTCCCAGGGATGAGGCTCTGTAACCTGGGTGGGAGGAAGCTGCTGGGGTGGGTGGTCCCCGTGCAGAGCACAGCCCCCATTCCCCTGCACCGTGGTACATACGGATTCAGAAATAATCCAGTGTTCATTACCTTGACAAATTAAGAAATTGAGAGCTGTCAAAGTGTAGCAAAGATTGGAGGTGGCTTCTATAGCAAACCGTGGAATCTCCCACTGTTTGTCTAATCTAATTTCCTCATCCTTGTCCTAAGAGAATCATTACAAGACAGGGAGAAGTAGAGAGATGAAGACAGGAACAATTTCCAACTGAAGGCACCTCCCCCTTCCATGTGTGTGTGCAGATGAGAGGGTTTATATAAGCTGTGTGGGATCAATAATTTCCCTCTGTCAGGTTTATGTTTTAAAACAACTCTTTGATTTCATCCCCTCTGGTTAATCTGCCATAGAAAGAATATAAAAATAAAAATATTCTTTTGTCTGGTGGCAAATACTCCTGTGTTCCAGCACTGGCATTAAGAAGGCAGTGCTAGAGAGAGCAACATGTGGTACATCCCAAGCCCCTTCAGCTGAGATAAAGCCCTAGAGGAACCAGCTGCTGTGACAGCAAGCTGTCCAACAACAGCAGCAAACCCAAATAAATTAATAGCCAACACTGTCTCTGCTGGGGAAGGAAAGGTTAAAACCATGCCAGCAACTGGTTGGGGACAGGCTTTTGAGGCAAAGCTGCAGTTCCTTGCTGCTAATTGTTATGTTTTCCAAAGATGTTATCAACTAAGTTGTGTTCAACAAACTGCTATTTAATTACTAGAGTAAAATCCTGTTAATTAGCCAGCCCCAGAAGACATCCCTTCATCCCTGTTAAGTGAAATTCCCAACTAATCCCTCCAGCACTTACTGTGTTGCAGCCCAGAGAAGAATTAGTGATGGCCACAAAGGTGAGGGGAGCATCAGAGCTGGGTCCCACCTGCTGCCAGTGGCTGTCTTCAGCCCTGGGAAGGTGCAGACCAGCACAAGTGGAACATTCAGAAATAAAAAACTGTTCATTCCTCTTACCAATCCACAGCTCTCCTTCCCGGCTCCAGTTGCCCAGGTGGCTTCAATCACAGCCTGGCCAGCATCTCCTCTTCCCCTGTGCTGCCCTGGGCTGCATCCCCTTCCCTCTGTGCAGTCCATGCCTGTGCCCATGGGAAGGCTGGCAGAGCCCCTTCAGCCCCACGCCACCCTCCACCCTGCAGCACCCGAGCTCTCCCCAGCAGGATGCAGTGAGCACCTTTACAAGCTCCTACAAACACTTCTAAACACAGCCAGAACTCTCCTCTTAGCTCTCATCTCACCTGGCTTCCCAGGTATATCAAGGATAGTTCCACAAAATTCACAAAACAGCCTGGATAAATGTGACAAGTGCTCCAGTTACAGAAAAAACTTCAGCCTTTCTAGATAGTGCCCGAGGGCACCATTCCAGTGTGGGAAGGATCAGCCAGGGCTTGTTCCCACCCCAAGAGGGAAGCAGGTTTCTTTCATTTCATTCTTTCATTTCATTCACTCTGGAAGTTAAATGTTTTCATTTTACATTGAAATGCCAGCAAAAATTAATTTTGATAGGAAGTTGTATGCACTTCTCTGATATCCATTTAAACAATTTAGAAGATTTTGAAGTACTAGGGGGCTCATTTAATCAGGTTCAATAAAGCAAATCTCCAGGTGAAAATAATTAATATTTAAAAGAGTATAAAAATTATCTGTTCAACATGATTTGGTATAAATACATCCCTAAAGATGTAGGGATGAAAGGACAGTTCAAAAATTCTACTAAGTCTTAAATCAATGGTTGCAAAATTCCAATATGCAATTTGTCATGTTCCTGTGAACTTGCCCTGCCCAGTTTGATCCAAGCCCAATCCTGGATTGTGGCATAAGAGACATTGAATTTCAGCTGAGAAGATATCCATCAACCCTTATTCTAAGCAATACTAACAACTACTATCAGAATTAAGGCATATGGAAAAAATAGAATCCCTGATTTTATAGACTAGGAACTTAGAAGAATGAAAAATTTACAACAATTTAAAATATGGACCTTGATAGTCAGGACCTATTAAATTTAGTCAGGACCTTATTAATTTTAAATATGGACCTATAGCTACACTACCCTACAGCTAGAATGATGTCTCTAAGTCTTTACCCAATGTTGAAGCAGAGAGGTTTTTAGTATTAAAGAGGCACACAAGGCAGCAAAATAAAAATATTTGCCTGCGGTTGGATGAATAAAGGAATACCTTAAACTGGAAAGTTCCGGTGACATCACCAGATCAGCCCCTTCTGCCACAGCTCCAGCTCTACTGGAATCAACATCCGTCCTGAAAACAAACCTGGGGAAGAAATAAGAGGCTGTGGCTTGTTTCCAAAAGTAAAAGGAAGCAGAGTGAGAGGTGCATGATTAATTCTCCATTAGTATTCCACTTACAGTTCCTCCAAAGATAGGGAAATATTTCAAGTGAGAAATCTTGCTCATCAAGCAGTTGAAAACATTTCTCCTCACTGTGTTCTAACTCTCACTTCTCTGAAGTCACCTTTCCCCTCCATCACACAGGCCTGGAGGTTGTCCAGGTACATCCCTGCAGGTATCCACTGGTACTTCACACTTCTTCACTGAAAAAAAATTAATCTAAGAACAAAACAGCTTTTAAGAAAGTAAGTTTTAATGTAAAATACACAGGTTTGAAAAAGCAGGACCAGTAACATTACATCCCAGAAAGCAATTACAGTAGCAAGACGCTTGGATTTTAGAAAATGTGTTTAATTAATAATGCTCATTAACTACACAGTTTTAATCCATAAATACAAGTTAAAGTCGTAAATACAAGATAAAGTTGTAAAAAAAAAAATCTCAAATATGTGATACTTACTTTTAAATTTATTTCATTTTTATGGCTGCCTCTTAATACACTAAAGATGTGGAAATCAGTGCAACTTAAAGAGCTACCAGACAAAAACCTCTAAAGGATGAAGAAGGGCTCAGCAGAGGGTATGTTCATCTCTACCTTGCACCTTCTTGTTAAAGGAACCACATCAATCTTTGGTAGTGTATTAAAACACCTCAAATAGTTAATAGAGACAAACATTTAAAGGTTAACACTGTTTATATTCCTATTCAAGCTGCAACACAAATTTCTTTTCTGTATTTTTTGTTTATTTAAAAAAAAGACACTTAGGAGGTTTTGAGGGCTTGAGACTACAGACAATGGGATCTCTTCCTTTGCACTGAAGTCAGCAGCAATTCTGACATTGTCCTAGTAGGTGCAGACATGGGCTTGAAATATTTAAGGAAGTGGGAGGAATGGATCCAGTTTGTACAATTAATTAGAAATTATTCATGACACTTTTTCATGGCTGGACAGAAAGATACAATAAGAGAGCATACAATATAGAACCATAAATAGCCTATCACCCTTAAATAAGAGGTGTTGAGTTTGCAGGGTTTCCTACAGAGAAATTTCTGATTCTAACCTGGACAAAGGCGCTTCTGAAATCAATACAATCAAAAGACATTAACATCATCCTACACAGGGTTAGTCCCAATATAAATGTGTTCTCTTTAACTGCTCATTTAAGGTACCTTTTTCTATTTACATTTACAATATGTGCTGTTGTCAGTGTAGGACCAGATTAGACTGAACATTAGAATAAATGCAGTGCAATTTCTTTCTCTCTTGGGACAAACCAGTGAATAAACTTTAACATGATAGGAATGTTTCAAAGTGAAAATTGAAAACACATTTCCCCAAGCCAGGGTTTCTGTATGCACAGCACATCTTGGAAAAGCAGCATAGCATCTCTGCATGTTTGCTTTTCACTAAGTACAGCACAGAAGAAGAAGCCAACAATCTTTAAGAAATGGGAACAAATATAATCAGGGTGAACAAACAAGTGGCCAAAATATTTTTTTAGAGAAACAACTAAGAACTAAAAACACCAAGTCAACAGAAGCAATGAATCATGTATTTATGGCCAAGGCAAGCGTTCAGGGTTTTTTCATTTTCATTAGCAATAGGTCAGTGTGAAATGTCAGAAACTCAAAAGGGCCATCCCCGTGTAGCGCTCCTGCAGGGCTTCCACCATCCTCCTCCTTGTCCAGACCACCTCAAAACACCAAACAACAACACATGATCTTGGCATACAATGCACTCAATGATTTTCACATCAGCCTTCAAAAGCATGATGCTCTCGCTGGGCTAGAGAAGAGAGGAGGAAAAAAAAAAGGAATAGAAGAACATGTAAACTCTGTCAAGGAGTTGAAAAGATTAAAAAAAGAGAAGATAAAAATGTATAAATCAGTCAAGGGAGAACACAATGTGCTAACAACTGTTTGATAATACATTTATAGGGAGCCTAAAATATAAGATCCCTTAAAATCCTGATTGCAAATGGTTCCTCTAAATTAATACTTAAATTGGATAGTATGTAGCCTTGAGAGTTATTAAGAGATTTGTTTAACATTTTGGGAATCCAGTACATTAAACACAAAACAGATTGTACAATGAAATTGAAAATACCTTTTGAATGATAGCTAACTTCTACATTGAAGGGACATAATTTTAATGCAATGTCAGCTGCTACATTCCTAAGTGATTAATGATGAATCAGGCAGGATATCTCCATAGAAATACCCTACCAGCATCTTGCTTTTCTAATGAAGGTAGAAATGAACAGTACAAAATACTTACAATTATAAAAGATGGCTTTAAAAGATGTGTGTGGAAGAAGTTTATGAATCTTTTGTAAAACTTTTGCTTCACTTGCTGAAGAGGAATTCATGTTCCAGACTTGCACAACATCTTCAAGGTCACAACATCTTCACTAACCCCTATTACTTCATCATCTGCAGAAGGGGAAGAACCATCAAGAAATATTTTAAAAGTGAGACATGTCTAATTTGCTACTTATGTATTATGAAACAGTGCCCAAAAGCTGGAAAAAAAATAAAGATGTGAAAAAAAGAGCAATCTCCAGTGAGGAAAATACCAATGCTCAAACCAGACAAAGTAGTTACCAGAAAGAAGTTATTGGAAATATTACCTCATGGTGGTTTTTATGAATTGCCATAGCATTATTCATCTCTGCTATTAGCACTCTTAGACTTGATTAGAATGGAATCACAAGACTCCCTCCAGTAAGGTCAGCAATATGAACTACTAGAGACAATTTACCCACAATGATGTCTACAAGCAGAAATGGGAGGATGAGGGTGAAACAACTAAAACCCCAGGAAAAGTACCAGGTTTTGGAGATCAGACACCAGCTTTTCCAGACTTTGCTCTCTTTTTCCTTTACATTTTGTCAAGGCAGCAACAGGAAAAAAAGAAAACAAAATTAATGAAAATAATAAAGCCCCAGTCAGACTGCTGCTGCTGCCAGTGCTGGTAACTCAGTGCTACACTGAAGAAGCCCTTTCTGGTGGGAAGTTCTCAGGATGCAGCTTTGTGGAGAGCTCAATGGCCATGCCACAGCTGGGAGCAGTGGCTGCTCCAGCTGTGAACTCCATGGCACAGCTGCTCTGTGCATCCCAAGGAAAGGGTCACCAACAATGCACAAAGGTGGTGTCAGAAGCACAAGGCCAAGGGCAAGAACTAACTCTGGGGACAGCAGAATATAATATATTTGCTTAAACCGACCCCAAGACAACCTTATCAGTGTATAAAGGCTGTGAGAGACCATTTAAAAGATTATTTCTGAAGTGCTCTGTAAACTTGAGAAAGGACATTCTTTTTTGTGGAATAGTAGCCAGTGAAAGACAATATCTACCAGGAAATTCACTGTCACTGTAACAGCCACTTTTATCAGATATTCACGCTTAGAAGAGAAGCAAATATGGCGAAAAGAATGATGGAGAAATGTCTCAATCATTACCTGCTGCACAGCAATCTGTAAACTGCTCTCCAATAGTTGCTAGCAGTAGCTCTTTCTAAGCTGCAGCCTAAGGAGGCAGAAAAATATTACATTCACATTATTATTTCTTAAATTGAAAGTTAGGTTTTCTAGCTCAGTTTTGAGTGTCTTCTCTTTCTGAGGTTGTCTAGACAAAAAGGAGTATTTATTGTAAGTGCATGCTGTGTTATATAATTAAATGTTGGGTCTGTACAAGATGCTTCATCTTAGCCAAGGAGATGCTGTGCCCACGTCTGATGAAGAATGAAGAAAAAAAGAAAAAAGAGAAACAGGCATAAGGGTGTTATTAATGCTATTTACAAGGCACTGAAAGCTGGCTGAAGTTCACCTTCAAGCAAACCTTTCAGAAGTGACTGAGGCCACGTGGTGCATAGTTTGAGAGATCAAAAGTATCTTCATGTCAAAAAGGGGCTGTCATTCAGCCTCTGAAAAACAAGGCCTCTGGGGTCCCTAAACTCACTGCCCAGTAATTCAGACTCTCCAAACCACTTGTCACTTCTGACAATCTTCACACCTTGGATTATAGGAGGAAAAAGACAATTTCAATTTCAGTCTTTTGTGACCACTTGGGACTGCGGGGGAGGAAAGCTGCAACTCACAAGGAAAAAGCCCACAGGCAAAAATCAATTAACTTTTGGCTGAAATTTTGACTACCATCTTTCAGCATTTAATGCCTTCTGCAAGGCTGTCACATTTTTCTGACACTTCACTTTTTCTGTTTAAAGGCCTGATCCAGAGCACGCTTACACACATAAACACCATGTGTGAAGAGGTCAAATCTCCTTTCTGTGGCAGTTCACAGAAGTTACTCACATGCATTTGATTAGAGAGGCAAAGAGAAACACAGTTATTTCATTAGAGCTCAAGGATATGCTCAAATAGACTTCATCTTTCACACTTTTAAATGAAAAAAAATATATAATTTAGCATAGATTGTCAGGAAAAGGTCTTTCTATTTTTCTTTGTATGTCTATAAGCAAACAGTCTCGAGAACAAAGGTGATTATAAATTACCAAATTGAAACACTGTAGCTTTCATTATTATTTATAATACATTGCCAAATGTTATCTAAAGCAAGAGATACGTAATTATTGGAAAGTAAACTTCTGGTCTTTGACTTTAAAAGGTTATGAAAGTTAAAGTAGTGTTTGGTTGTTGTGTTGGGTGATGCAAGAAGTAAAAACCTTTACAACAGCTTTATCAAACAGAGTTTAAAGAAACTCCCTTACTAAACAAGGTCTGAGTAAAGAGTCAATGTAACATACCGTACTTTCTTTAGGGACCTTCATTTTCCATATAGCTCCCTTGGCATTGCTTTCTTCTTCCCTGTTATGGGAAATAGATCAGTGAAAATACACATTCAAATCCACATCTAGATAACCCTATGTTTGTGGTTTAATTTTCCCAGAAAAATCCCATCTGAAATGCAATTACTAACTCCAGGCAGCATGACTCTGACTTCTGACATCAGAGATAATTCTTTCATTGTTCATATGAAGTGTATCTCTCAACACCTAATCCTTTTCCTAAGTTTTGTGAGTTGGAAAACACTTGTATTTTCCCTGACTACAGACCATCTTTGAAGCGGCTGCACACTGCATGGGAACAAGCCACAAAACAATTTTACATTTTACTATGGTAACCTTTAATTTTGGAAAACCTCTGGCATATTTTCACAGAAGCAGCTTTTTACTCTTCCGTTTATTCCGTTTAATAAAAGAACATGAGCACACTTCATTTCACTTTTGTGACAGCTAGAAATTAATTGCCCTTATTAAAAAAAGAATGGAGCTGCTGCGGGTCAGGGCAGATGTAACCATTAAACTGCCTTGTAATGACAAAGGCACACTGCACTAATCTGTGAGCTTCTCAAGTTTATTTTGTCACAATGCTTTTTCTAAGACTTTAAATTAGGGCTTCTAGTTTCCTGTAAAGTCCAAATTAAAGGAATAACCTAAAAATTCATCTTTGGATTATCTATACCCAGTGTGATTCCTATAGATTCCTCAGGACCAATGGTCTCCCATCAATCCTGACAGATTGTACATTTACATCCAGAGGTGGACAGTGAAATTACAGTCTGTGTTTTTAATAAAGACTCTTTGGTACAAGTCCCTTTTAAACTGAACAAGAACCTCGGGGTTTCTTTCATTGGTCTTTTGAGTTCAGGTGTTTGTAGCCAATAGAAACAAGATCCTCCTGTCCCAAACCTTTCCCTCCTTCAAGTGATTCCAGTGCCCATTCCCAGTAATGTCTGATGACAGCACATGTACCAAAGCGGGCGCCTTTCTCCCCGCATTAAATGGTAGCTACATCTCAGAGGCAAGTTTGTCACGGGAGGAATGTTGTTGTAGACACTCCAGAAATCCTTGAAAAGGAAAAATATTAGTTGCATTAACACAAGAGAGTGTTCCATGAAGATTTATTTCCTTGCTAATTTCCTCTGAACCAATTACACATCCTTCTCCCAGAGAACAGGCACCTTCTATGTTAGAATAAAATGCTCTGAAAGGAATTTCTTACAGAATAATTTCTTTTTTTTTTTTTTAGATGCCAATCCTGCATATGTGAAGGTGGAAAAAAGAGAAACAGTCCAAATGTAGATTATCCTTTTGAATCCAGAGGGAAAAAATCATCAAACTATATCAGAACAAACCAGTACATAAAATTTCCTTTGCATATTAAAAAGACATATTTATATCAAATATCCACCTTGCTTCACTTAAGCATCATTATGATTATCCTGAGTTACAAAAACAACACAATAATGCTGGTGAACTAAATGTCTAACCAGCAACCAACTAGTTTGTCTGAGTGAAAGGTTTCAACCAGATGCAAAGAACCTGAGATGCACATGTTGATACAGGAGTGGGGGAGAAATGCAAAGATTCAAGTTACCAGGAACCATTGGATTACTTCCCAATGTTCCTGCTGGTAAAAGCAGAAGCTGTCAGGGAGGTTTGGGGTGGATAAAAAGGCACCTAAAAGTAGTGAGCAACAGGGAGGGATGATTGAAAAGATTCCGATCTCTTTACTCTTTATCTAACAGTTGGGAATATAAAGGATTTTTAAAGACTTAAGTTGCATCAACACGTGGTGATGCTATATTAATCATTAGTGCAACTCATTAAGTATTATCTAGACATAATATGTAAGTATTATCTAATACATTAAGTAATATCTAATACTTAATCACTAGTACAACTTTAGAAACAAGGATTGCAACATTATGTGATAAAATTTTGTGGCCCTTGGCAACTCTGCCTAACAGCCATTACCTCTACCCAGCCACAAGAAGAAATTGAAGACTACTAAAAATATGAAAACTTGGTATGAAATACCCATTTCAATTATGATCTTACTCTTAAACGGTTGTGTACCCAAACCCTAAAGCTACTTGCAGAAGAAGGAGCAGAGAGTACACTGGTACATGGCTGTGGAAACATTTGAGAGCTCTTTTTGTTCTGAACTAGGGACATGGTTTGGAAGGTTTTGTGTTTGGAAATCTCATGCAATGTATGAAGTTGTGCAGACCTTCATGAGAAAGCCTTATTTAAAACTTCAGTAGATTGCTACAGGTGTGCTTCTCAAAGAGAAAGGTCTGGCATTACCCTAAAACTTCAGAGATATAGTGAAATAGTCAGCTTAGCACTAAGGTGAGACAAATGCCATTTTGCTACACACTTCATGCTAAGTGTGGTATTAAAACAGAAATACAATTTTATTTGCAAGAGACACCCACTGCTAGGCAATGGCAGATGACACAGACACTCAGAATTTCTTACTGCTGCAAGTATTACACAGTTTAAGGGTCCATTAATTCAGTTTGCTAGAATATTTTTTTAGATACATACTCAAGGAAAGAAACCCCACCAAAAAAAAAAAGCCACATGCTGCAATTTTTAGTCTTTGTGCAATTAATTTCTGTATTAGAAAAAGGAGAAAAGGCTGGAAAGATATTTAAAGTACATCAAATATTCAATGTACTAGCGGAAACACAGGAAGGTTTAAGAATCCACATGCCCAATCCAACATTCCTCCTCCTTTCCCCATCCAGAAAGCCAAATGAAATGCAAACACTGACTCAGTAATACAAACACACAACACCAGGACCACTCACGTTTCACAGCTCAGGTAAGCAAAGCCAGAGGTGTGACTCATCCTAGGAGGAAAAACGAAACTTGAGGTGTGAAGTTACATTAATAGCATGTGGCAGCTCCTGCAGCAGAGCCAGGCGCCTTACCTGCACTGTTTGTCCTGTATATATATATATCTTCTTCAAATTTAATGCACATTCAGCCGCTGTTGTACCAGGAAGTGACCTTGAAGACAAAGCACTGATTAATTAAAGTATTTATTTTATCAAGGAGGCGGAGAAGGGAGATGGAGAAGGAATGTGAATTGCATGAGTGTGAAGTTGAAATGTTCACATGTCAAAGGGGAAGTCCAACTCCAAATTATCACGAACCATTTAAAGATAGGAGTTAGAGTTCTTTAGTACTTGCGAATAAATTAATATTTGCCAGGCAATTCATAAAACTAAACACAAGTATCAGGAGTTTTGGCCAAGCAGCACAGCGCTGCCCTCAGAGTTACCACACACCATCAAAGCTCTGCTATTCACAGGCGACCAGAAGGGGACCGCATGATCCCGCCCCGGAATTATTTTCAATTGTATTTAATACACTAGCCCCCGTTTTTAGCATTTTAAGGCGCTGCCGGTGCTTCACACTTTGAAAGGGAAACTCATCCGCACGCCTTG